TGCACAGGTCTAGCTGGGACTGGCTCCGCAACATTTTCGGGTCTTTAGCCAAAGCGTCCGCTCGGTTCAACACGGTCTGGTTTAATCCATTGAAATGCGAGCTCGGACCCGTTGTAGGGCCTGGCCCGGGCCCCGGGTGGCCGTGAAGGTGTCCGAAGGAGCCATAGTTCGTGTAGCCAGGATAGAAGGGCGCCGTGTAGTAGAGAGGCCGGGACAGCACTGTCCCGCCTGGAAAGGGACACTGAGCCGAGGGCGAGCGCGATGGCGCCGGTGCTGGTGACGCGCGGCTGCCTCCTAGGGCTTGCCCGGCTACGGGCCCGGGGCACGGTGGGCACGGAGAGCCCTCGCTCCCGCCGCCCCCGTCCTTGACCTTGTCCGAGGATGTGGCGATCTCCGCCAGAGACCACAGTTTGGGCTTGGCGAGCACCGCCTGAGGCGGTGGTGGTGGCGGCGAGTGTATGACCGAGGGCCCTCCGGGACCGGGGGGCAGCTCTCCCGCGGCTGGGTGTGGGCCCGGAGCCGGCGCGCCCGAGGAGTAGTGAGGGGCCGGGTCTTCGGCCAGCCGAGCTACCGCAGGCCCGGCCGGGGAGGGCCCGCCGGCGCGGGGGGGCCCGGGCAGCGCGTCGAGGCGGCCCTCGGATGGCGGCTCTTTAAAATCCGAGTCGCTGAGGCTACCCTCGGTCTCTTTGCCGGCAGGGGTGGGCGGCCCCTGCAGCCGTTCAAAGCCTGAAGCCGCCTTCTGCTCTGCTCCTCCTGCGGGCGAAACCCAGGCGGTCAGAGGCGCGGAGGCCGCGCGGCGGGGCCCAGGTCCCCGCCCGCAAAGGCAAAGACCCCTGCCCTCAACCTCCAGGCCCTGTGCGCCCCCTCTCCAGTCCCCCTTTTGCTTAACGCACCCTTTCCCACGTCCACCAACCTGCATCGGGGCCCTCGGGGTCGCCCTTGTCCTCGGGCTTCTGGGGCTCATCCTCGTCGTTCTTCTCCAGATCAATGTTCTCTTCCTCCTCCTCGTCCTCGCTGCGGTTCCGCGGCGTCCACGTCATCTTGTTCTCCTTCTTGAGGCGCCGGCGCGCATTGGCGAACCAGGTGGACACCTGGGTGAGGGTCATCTTGGTGATGATGGCCAGCATGATCTTCTCGCCCTTGGTGGGGTAGGGGTTCTTGCGGTGCTCGTTGAGCCAGGCCTTCAGTGTAGCGGTGGCATCTCGCGTGGCGTTCTTCCGGTACGCGGGGTCCCCGTAGGGGTACGAGCCCAGGGGTGCTGCGTACGGGTGGTACCCCAAGGAGCCTGCCATGCCGGGTGTATGGTCGTAGGGAGAGCCCTGCAGGGAAGGGGCAGAGAGAAAGTGAGAGTGGGCCGTGGTCCCCAGTGCCACCTGGGCGACTGAAAGACACTTTCCCTGCGCCCAGGGGTCTTCGGGCTGCGAGGCCCGCACTCAGGCTTCCCCTGGGGTAGGGCTGGAGAGCTCAGACCCTGGGGCAACGCCTCCTCCTCCTCATAAGGAAGCGGGGGCGCCAACTCCTGAGTCCTTGGGGGCGCTTGGAGCCGTCCTGGCTTCCCTGGCCCCTGGGAGGCCCGGGAACGTCCTCCCTCCGTGCGCAGATCCGGCCACGGCGGCCGGGCCCTCTACCCAAGGAGAGGCCTGGGCAGCGGCGGCGACTCTGCGCTCCGCACCCGAGTGGTTGCGCGTTGGGAGCAAGGGTGGTGAGCAAAGGAAATCAAGGACTTTTTTTCCCCACAGAGAAAGGCAAACGAAAAGCTAAGCCTTGCCTCGGCACTCCCACCCCTCCAAAAGTGTTACCACAAACCGAAGCCAAGGCGCTTTTCCAGAAAGTGCACCCGGCCGAAAAATCCCGGATGCACCGCAGCTCGCCCGACTTTTCAGAAATTTAATACCTCCAAATCGGATTGCAAAGATAGGATTACGGATTTGCAACATTTTGGAGGACTAATTAAAGGCGAGGCCAAACACATTTACACAGACTTAGCACGCTTCTGTTCAGATTTCGGGTCCATTTCTTTTGAACTACTTTCTCCAAATGGCAAAACCAAAAAAAAGAAAGAAAGAAAGTACAATGTGCTGGGCGGCCTGGAGCTCACGTTTGAACCAAATGCTGCTCTTTAATCGCAGCGACCTCTCCCCAAAAAACCCTTTCGCCAACTCAGCGATCCGAGCAAGACGCGGCTCTTCTCTCCGAGCAACTCCTGAGCCCGAGGCCCGGGCGAAGCCGAGGGAGACAATCGCCCAAGTTTGCAGGGTCCGCGAGGCTTGGCAGGGGCGGCCCGCGGTGGAGCCGAGGCCCGTGTCCGCAGCCCCCGACCGCCCCAAGCTGCTGCAGCTGCCCTCGCCCGCCCCGGCTCCAGCTCACTCACCACGTACGAAGAGAAAGCGGCGGCTGCCGCCGCCGCCGCGGGGTCGGCGCCGTACTGGAGGTGCGAGTTGTAGCCCGGCGAGGGCGCCGTGAAGGCGGTGGAGCCGGCGTAGGGCGAGAACGCGGAGCCCGACGACGAGCGCCCGAGCTCATCCGTGCGGGGCCCCGAGATGACGCTGGTGCTGTACGCCGGGCACGAGTAGAGCGCCAGCGAGGCGGACGGCTGGTACAAGTAGCCCTGCGGGTAGGACATGGCCACGCACGGGCATGGGGCGCTCCGCGCCGCGGCCGCCAACGAGCCGGGCGGCGCCCTGCGAGGGCGTGCGGGCGGGCACCTGGCCTCCGGCTGCCCCGGGCCGCCGCTCCTCGGGCCCCGGCTCCCGGGCTCCGGCCCGCTGCGCCTCCTCGCTGGCTTCCCGCGCGCCTCCGGCTGCGGCCGCCGAGCCCGCTCCTCTGCGCGCCTCGCTCGCCCCGGCAGGGTTTTCCCCCCCCCTCCCTTGCTGCTTTCTCTTTTTCCCCCTCGCTCTTTGCACTGGGGGGCTCTGCTTTTAGCTTCGCAAAGGTCCTGCCAAGATGCTAAGTTGGAAATTGAGGATTCTGACGCCTTGTGCGCGCCTGAAGCTCCTCCTTCGCGGGGTGTAGTCGGTGGGAGGACTGGCAGGAGCCTCTGGGCGGCCGCAGCCAACCCGGCCGCCAGGCGCGCCTCGCCCTCTCCCTCTTCCTCCCCGGCTCCCTCTCCCGCTTGCTGGCGCTCCCCTCGCCCCTCCCTAGCGCCCGCCTCTCCTCCGCGGCACTCCTCTCCCCCCTCCTCTTATTCCCCCCCCTCCCCTCCTAGGTCTCTCCCTCTCTCTCTCTCAGACTCTTGAGCGCCCGCCCCAGGATGACAAACACATCCCAGGCGCGCCGATCTCTTCCAACTTTCCTCCCCTGCTAAGTCGGGGTGGAGCGGCGGTTCCGACACAAGGCGGGCCCTGATGGCCGGTCCCGCCGCTTCGACGCACAAAGGGAACGAGGCCGCGGACCGCGCGCCAGCGAAAGCTCTGCTTTCTGTACGCCGCAGTAAATCGCGGAGTTAGCGGATTCCTCGTTCGCCAGAAGGCTGAGCTCCAAGGCAGATCGCCGCCCACCCGCCCCTGGCTTCTCCCCCAAGCTAGGGGACCCGAGAGCGAGTTGGATACCCGGAATGAAGGCCCCCGAGAGAGCCGGATGGATGCCAGCGTCCAGGGCGCAGGGAGTCTGGGGTGACTGTCCCTCTCCGCCAGCAGCAGCAGGTGGGCGAGAGACAGGCCTTGGACATCTGCACGTCTCCGGCCCGGCCTCCCTTCCACCAACTCCCCGCCAGACGGCGAGGGAGGAGGCACTGGGGACCCAGTACTACGGGGGTAGCCTTTCTCTAGAGAGGTAGTGGGCAAGAGCTGCCAGACGGAGAAGCAGCTACACCGGAGTAGGTCGTTGGACTCCACTACACCTCCTCCCGCAATGCCTGGCTGCCTCTTTCTCGGGGCTCTGCATTATCCGCAGCTCGCCCCGCCAGGCCGGTGGTGGTGGAGAGTGCGGGTCCTCTTCCCCTTCGCACCCACTCTCGCATCCGCCCACGCTCCACTGCTAACATTGCGGAGCAGTAACCAACCCAACCATTTGTTCAGCGAGGCGCTGGCAAGGCAAACACACACAACCGAGTCACCGGCCGAGCCCTTGCCCACGAAGGCCACACATTTAGAATACAAAACAGACCCTTTGCCTGTCTCTCCACACCGCGCCGCCACAAGACACAGAAGCACTCGAACTGTGGGACAGACAGGGGCGCTGGTGAACCAGGACAGGGGCTGGCACAGTATTGGGCACTCCGCTGGGGCCCAGTAGATAGAGGACTTTGTGGCCTTTTATAATGAGGTCACACGGAAGCCGAAGTATGCCTATACACAGAGTTTCCCTCAATGACTCTGACGGGAGAGATACACTTTTACTTCCTGAGCTCCAACCCCTGCACACAAACCCACTCTCCACAACGGCACACTCTCCGCAGCGCGACTTCACGCACGCGCGCTGACTCCTCCCCTCCGTCAGTTCCCTCCAGGCTCCGCCCCTCAGGCGGACGTCCTCCTACAGCCGCTCTAGCCCCATCCCTCCCTGCTTTCACCTCTAATTGGACGCGGGCCTCTATTGGCTCCGCCCTTCGGCGACGTGAGCCCGCTTTCCTCCGAGTAACGGCGCCGAGAGGGCGGGGCTGGGCGGGGCGACGGCGCGCTATTGTCATGGAGACGGGAAGCCGGCGGCGGCGGTGGCGGGAACAGCCAGGCTGTGGTGGCAGCAAGCCGGCCGAGACTGAGGCGAGGCTGAGCGGCCTGACGTGCGGAGCCGGCCAGTGGTGGCCTCTCAGGCAGCCAAGGGGCAATGTCTTCTGGGGCTCGGACAACGCCCGGGTGGTCGCGGGGAGTGCCCCGAAGCGTCCCCGCCCTGCTCGCATCGCTCCCGCCTCTCGCTGCCCCTCAGCTCCCCAGCGCCCGCCCCCCGGCTCCGCCCGCCGCCGGCTCCGCCCGCCGCCGCCGCCGCCGCCGCCGCAGCCCTTCGCGCTAAAGGTCTGTAGCGGCCCGCGCGCGCCGCCCGCCGGGGGCTCGCGCCAGCCACGAGGGAGCGTCCGCGGCTCGCGCGCCCGCGCCGTGGAGGAGAGGTGAGCCCCGGGTCCTCCATGCCACCGCGCACCCGCCCCGTTGCGGCCGGGCTTCCTGTCTCTCGAGCCGCGTCCGCGTCCCCTCGTGGACCGGACGGACGCGACGGTGCCCCGCGCGCCTCCGTGGGCATGGGCCGCGTGAAAGTTGGGCGGGCTTTTCCTGGTGTGACGGTCCCCGGGCGGGCGGGCGTGGGCGTGTCCCCTCCATCCACGCGCGGCGGCTTCACCCTCTCGGCTCTCGTCAGAGATTTCTGAAATGCTGATTTCTGAAATGGAGCCTTGGAGGTTTGTGCCACCGAAAATCTGAGTCTGTCAACACAGACATTCTCATTACATCATCATGTAACTCTGGGCAGCTAAGCAACCCCCCGCACACACACACTATACTTACAAAACCCCCCTCCCCCCCACTTCGTTTCTTTCTACTGTCTTTTTGGTGCACGGACTGTAGAGAATCCTGCAAGATATTGAGGCATTTAGAATTTATGGAGTTTATGGTTCTGTTGCTGTGGCTGTCACCTCCGCTCTACGTCAAATTTGAGACTCATTTCTTAAGGATGTCTCTATTTTCTGGTTTATTTGCACATTGGTGGCTCTGATGCTCGGCTGGCCACGGCCGCCCGGCGTCTGAGATAGACTCGTGTTAATATGTGAAAGGGAAGAGCTGATCATTAGCGTGCAGACGGGATTCAGATAACATCTGGCGGGTTTTCTCCGTTTTCATGTGAAAGCTTTCACGTTTTTGCTGGTAAACCGGAGGTTTTAACTTTTAGTCTTGGTGGCAGTGACGATAAGGATACGTTCCCTTCTCTCCACCCCGCCCCCGCCCCTTTTCCTCCTTTATTCATCAGCTTTGCCGTTTAGGAGCCTGCGTGCTTTTAGCAGTAGTTTAACTCGTCTCTTGTCACTGAAGCTTTCTCCCCCAGCAGAGGTGGGAGCTAACTCCCTCTGGTTCCAGGTTACCAAGACGACTCCTTTTCTTTTTGGCTTACTGCTGCATTTGTATCTTTCCGAACATTTTAACTTACACTAGGGATAGGTATTCCCTGATTGTTCTTAATGAAGGACTTTAAAAAAAAATCTAATTTTAAAAGTTCCTAAGAGTTTATTGGTTTGTCATGTCTGCACGGATCCTGTTAGGCATAACTCTTAAAATTTAGAGCTTTAAAATAAGATCCACAATTGTATTGTTAAGACATGGTCGTGGAGCTTGCTCTTCGAGTTTTGGCTGTACAGTTGTCATTGTTTAAATCAAGTGCAAAAGAGGTTATTCCTGTTTATTTAGTGTAATAACTGTTTACAGTTAAAACTTTAAAGACTCATAAAAGGAGATCTGCTGTATTTTAAAGATCTCATCATTCTTGTGGGAGAGACACAACACTGACGCTAGGAAAGGCAACAGATTGCTTCTGTCATATCGCTTTGCAGTTTTGGAGTGTACTTAAAGGATTATGATTGATAAGGCTGTCTTGCCAGAGAATGTTGACACAGGTGTGCATCGTTATCTTAATTAAGATCTTGAGAAAATGTTGTCTATAAAATGGTGACATAAGAAGGGCGGCATATTTCTGTACAGTTTTGCTTTTGGAGAATTTAATTGCATAGAGACCTGTCTTTGAGCTTCCAGCACTCTGGCAGCAGAAGTTTTAGAGAGAAATGATAGTTCAATGTTAAGTGTTTTGGCATGTATTAATACTACTTGTGGCTTTTTGGCAATGCCTTTGTCGACTTTTTTTTGTGCTTCCATCTTTGTGGAGTAATGGTTCCTGATTTAGAAAGAAAAGCATAAATAGCGTAGTATATTATTAAGCAAACGTTTATTAGTGTTCAGTAAAAATATGTAGAGGAAGGCATGCTTAATGTGCAGAAACAGGATTGTAATGAAAAGGTAAATATATAAGAAATTTATGTCCCTTCACTTTTTTTAGAAGACAGTCTCCTAGAATGTTTTAATGATCTAAAACAATTTCTTTTTTCTTATTGTCAGGTACTTAACTACATTTTTTATGCAATGCCTTGTTTTTATTTACAGACGTAGAAGAAAACTGTTTTATTTCTTCCAAAATGTGGTTCTGTAAACTTGAATTGATGAGCAAGTGAAGATAGTGCATTTAGACTCTTATTAGTTTAAGGATCTGAATCATAACCTGGATGACCGCTAGAATAGTATTACTGTCCTTTACTTCAAATCTCTGAATACCAAATGCCAAAACAATAGCAGGACAGATGCTGTTGATTATATTACCCCTTGGCTTACCCAGCACCTAATACCCTTCCACATAAGTATTGCATTAAGATTTCCCCCCTCTCTTTGTAGCTCATGATTTCCTGGAAGCTGGCTGTCCATCAGTGTGTATGTAAGATGTGTGAGTGTTTTTCTTTAATATTAAAACTCATTGCAGAAAGAGGAAATGAAAGTGGAGGAGGCCATAGGCGTTATGATCGGAGAGGCCAGGTGTAGAATCACAGCTCATTCGTGACTCCAAGGATAATGAGCTGCCGAGCATTACATGGTAAACTAAAATCAAAGAATGACTTATTTAGATTTGTTTGCTGAAACTAAAACAAGAGCATTAATTTTGACATAATTGCTTTACTTATCCCCCAACTCCCCTTCAAAAATTTCTTTTCTGGCAGCTAAGATCAGCATCCCAATGCTATTATCCATACATTATTTTCAAATTTGATATGCTGTGTTAAAAGAAATGAAATAGGAATATGAGCTAATTACCTGTCATCTGTTTTAATAAGTAACACCAAGTAATTATTACTATATTAATATATAATAATATAATATATTTTTACAGTATAGAAATCTTGTGGAAAATGTCAGTGTTCTTCAGTTGATAATGTGCAAGTAAATGAGATCGTGTAATCCTGAGTGAATTAAACATGTTCTTTAAAACAGATTATGAAAACAGGATCGTATTTTGGAACAGTGTTTTACCTCTGAGATAGCACAGCCTATTTTGTGTGGTAATATCTCAATATCTTTGCGTATTTCCCTTCAGTGTCTGCATTGTGTTGGCTCCTGTAGTTTAACATCCTTTCGGTATAAGTGTTAGCTGTTTTATAGAGAATAATTGTCCTTAATAGAATAGCAGCTGATACCACTCTAAGAAGATGTAAAATCTTGGAATTATTTTTTTCTTGTTCAGTAATGACTCTGGTTTGCTTTCTGGTTTAGCACTACTCTGGAGTGTGATACTCATGACTTATTTCTGCATAAATCTGCAGTATTTTATAGCTAGAGTATACCTGAGCACCAATTTAGCTTGGCAAATTAACTTAGATGCTTCAAAATTGAAAACCAGTATATTCAAATGTAGTTAAAGTTTAAATCTCTATTAGTAAGGATGCACTTAACATTTGTTCAAGAGAATAGAATATAATTTTCTCCTGCAGTTGTCATTTATGTAATCCATTTTTCTAGCCTTTTCTCAGGCTAATGATATTCCACACCTTGATACAGTCTTTAGTTGTTTATTTGCGATAATATAGAGTGATACCTTGGAGAAAATTAGATTAGATATTCATATCTAATATCCCTAAAGTATTTAACCAGACTTCTGTGTTTCCTTAAACAGAATCGTTTCCATTTTCTGTGCAGGTTTTAAGTATGATGTTTCCGTAATACATTTGGATGTTTTCAGCTAAGCTCACTTCTGAACCATGGGGTTCCTCCAAATGTTGACTGAAATTTGTCCTTGCGCATCCCCAGGCTCATCTGCAAGTGAGTGTCTGCACAGTTGTGCTTGTGTGTGGAGTAAACCCAAAATAGCATCAGCGTTTGTTTTACCAAAGTATTTGTATTGGAAATAGGGATGGTCTAAGTACAGAATGTAGAGAATGTCACTTGAGGCCTTTGATTATTAAAATTTTACCAATGCATTGGTAAGTAGGAAAATTTTTGATTCATGGAAATGCACTTAAAATGCATTTATTTTTTAATGTTATCATCGGATAGTGAAACTTTTGAGCTCAGTGCTTTTTGTAAAAATCAAGACTAAAGTTACGATATGGTATAGAAATAGGATTATTATTTAAAGGAAATAATGTTTATATCAAATTACAGTTTTTGATTATTTTCATTACCCCAGTTCTTTTAAGAATAAACTTAGAGGGAGTATCAGCTCTAGTCGTGGGTACTAAACTCTTTTAAAAAGACAAAGGATATACAGGTGTGCACAAAACTTGTCACTTCTCATCAAAATAGGGGCTGTTGAATACAAGCAGATGAGAAAAGCTATGAGAAAAAAAAAACACTGTGCAGAATATTTGTGTTGCCTAGTGGGGAGAGCAAGTACTGGATTTAGTGATAGAGAATATTTTCTTAAGTAAAAAAGATGGTTGAATGACCAAAAAAAAAAAGCTAATTCTACAGAAGGCAACTCTAGTACAGCCTGCAGTAGAATAAGTGCTTCTCTGTGGATACTTTCAAAGGTATTAAAGTGATTTTTAATGTTATATAATTGTTTTTAAATAACACACTTGTGTTCTTCTATCACTGATTGGGCGTTATGGGGCTTCATGTATGACCAAGAGCTGAAGCATTACAGTGACTTAGGAAACACACAAATATGAAGAAAATGTTAAACAGTGAGCAATCTGATTCCTCTTTGTTTGCCTTTAAGCTTAGTTTTTGGTTTTGGTTTTGTTTTTTTAACCACATGTAAACTTGTTGAATTTATAAGACAGGAGGATTAGATTTTTCTTCCCTCCTAAGGATGAATATAGGAAAAATCTAAACATATATGCAAATTGGTTGAGTTTTATATCTGTTATTAGCCAAAATTTATTATAAAGATTCATGTTCATTTCTTATATATTAATGGTATTCAAATGTATTAAAACCGATACTTCTTTTATATAAAATACGTGGTGTGAGGGGGGTTCCCCACTCTTGAAAATATGAAGAAATCATGTCCTTTCAACAGTAATAGGTTATGGTTGATTAATTGAGAAGGTTATACTAAATGTTCTCTAGTGGAAATGGCTAGAGTATGCTTTTTGAGAACTATATCATTCAGGAATAAAATCAATTGAAATATTGGTAATTAAATTGTAATTCAATGAAGGAACGAACTGGTAGGAAAGATGAAGCTAACTCTTGCTGTTTTTCTCTTTAAGAATCTACAGTCCATAATGGAGCTACTGTACTGGCTATTGGAAAAAGGAGATTCTGAAGATAGGGAGGTAATATTATCTCTTTTAAAAGAATACTTTCCTCTGTAATCCTGTGCCTTTATTACATATAAGAACTTTATCTAGTAGAGAGCAATTTCTTTAAATTTGGGGTATGGAAACAATCTGATTTTCCTGTGCTGAGTTTTCGAGCTCCTCCTCCTGGGGTAATAGGCTATGTTGGGAGAGCTGAGAAATCTCATCTAGGCATACTCAGCACCCTTAAAATAGCTTCTTTCTGAGAATTAGATCTGTGATGGTGGCCTACCCCGTTCTAGTAGATGTCATTTTAGCATGTGGTTGATGTGCAGGCATTGAGCGCGTTGCTTAGCTGTCCTCATTTACCTCTCTGGCTTTGTTGCCTTCTCTTGGGGAACGTGCTCTCGGCAGGGTGGTTCACTGCCAGCCACCACCCAGCTCTGAGTGGGAGACTTGCTGGTTGACAACTGGTTCCAGGGCTCTGCCAAAGACCTCACCGGGCCCAGCCTGGGCTGCTCTAGCGCACTGGAGGCCAGGAGCTCCCACACACGGGTTCCTTCCCTGGTTGTCAGCTTTAGGTCCCTTTCCATTTTTTGTGTAATCCTAGGCTATGGGTAATACTTTCTGTTTCCTCTCACTAGGTTGGCTTGTTGCTTTCTTTGCAGCTGTTGCAGGGATTCACATGGAATGGAGGACTCTGTTTTATTCTGGATGAGATCTTTGATCATTTCCCCACATGCTTTTCCAGTTTCAGAAACCTAATGCTGGTGTTACAGAATGAATCTAAGATTCTTGAACAACAAAAATGAAAAATGAAAAATCTGTGTCAATAAGAAAATCTTCCATCTTTTCATGCTATGTTGCTACATTGCCCATGCAAGTTAAATTAAAAACAGAGTCAAACCCTTTTATAAATTATCAGTCGCTATGTCTAAGAATGTTTATAAAGGCTTAAATTGTGTAATGGTATTTATATCATTTTTTTTCCTTTTTAAGAAAAATGATATACTTTTCTAGTCATCAGAAATACTCCCTGAACTATATCTATGGAGGGATATTAATGTAATAATAAAGGGCTTTATGATGTCTAATTATATAATTGGGAAATTGGTAAGCAACAGTAGTAGATAAAAGCAGTTTCTTCTATTAAAGAGCTAGTATACATTTAAAAACAAAAACCTTCAAGAAGGGGACTCTTTAATCTTTAAATCATATGATGTTTTTGGTTAATACAACAGGAAGAGGAAATATACTAATCTCAGATTCTTTTATTCTTGCCTAGGTAGAGGTTGGAAGCAGCTGAGGAGCTATTAACATGTAGCCTAGAAAAAAAATGATATAAAAGTGATTACTTGGAAGGCAGTTTACATTTGCAGAACAATTCAATATTATGCCCTTGACCAACTTTTACACTTCATATACTTGGGTTATTACTCTAGCTTTTAAAATATCAGTCTATGGTGTAGCTTGTGTATGGAATGCAAGGGTATTTTTGAATTGACTAGGTCTTGCTGGTCATTCTAAAATGTGCTACAGTATTACAAAGTTGAAATGTAATATTTATTAATAGAAGGAAAATATAAAATTTAATATCTGGGCAACTGTGACCTTTAAACCTACTTTAAAAGTATAATCTTGACATCTGTGACACTATTTTTGTCTTTGTTTATAGATAGAATTATGGATATTCTACAATCCAAATGATTTATTTATTAATTCCAAATTTTGTTCTCTATAATGGACTTTTAAAATAAAAAGAATACATGCTTTAGACATGGACTAATTTATTAAGCATTAGTACACAGAAAAGCAGCCTTGATTAATTTAAAACTGTGAAAGGGGGCAGGTAAAACTGTTTTCGGCTGAAATTTACTAACGCAGTAACCATTTAAATTAAATGTTTGTTAACGTAATAGTGATGGCATTTTCTCCTCCTCCTCCTTGTGGTTTTGTCCAACTAGATGTTACAGTGGCAGTTGCGCTGACTGTTAAGTGTTTAAATGATGACACTATTATGTGAAGTGATTTTGAAATGAGAGATTCCAGCCAAGAATTACATCTGCTCCCATCTCCTTCAAATCATACTCTCTGGCAGTACAGATTATGATTGATTTGTTTGTGACAGATTGCAGGAAACAGTCATTGATTTTTCAATATTTTACCTTAAAATTATTTACAGTTGTAACCATGGGGAGGTATTTCCACGGGCTGTCAGCCCCTGAAAGACTAGGATAATATTCCCTGCTCTCTGACAAGACAAATTACCTGTAATGAGTGCAGTAGCTGAAGGGTATACTTTTATTTTAAAATATGTCAATAACCCCAGTGACTAAACGAATATTGATTTAGCATAATGAAGCCTGAGTAATGTGAAAATGAGCTTTTTCAAGGAGCATGGTAAAGACTTTCTTTTTAGCTGGTTGTAAGAAGCTTTTCATTCTTTTCAACTAGCTAGTGGAGATAAGGAGTTTTATATGCAAACCATCAGGAATGATAGTGTTGTTTGTGATAACCAGGGTCCAAATATTTTGCCCTTGCTTTTATCGATTCTTTTTCAGATCTTATTTGGAGTCTTACTTTCAGTCATAGAATAGCTACTGATTTGCTTGCTCTTATCTTGAACCAAATTAATGTATTTACCATTTCAGTATATTTTGCGTTAGAACCTCTGGTATTGAATATTAAAATATAAGTCTATATACAATCATTTGTAGATGACATAATAATTATCTTAAGACATTTCAAATGGGTCTATTGTAGTATTTAATGTGCTGTGTGTTATGGTAGAATAATTCCTAGTCCCTGGACATCAGACTGCTTTCAGTGGGAATGAAGATTAATTTACTTAAGCCCTGATATTTTAGGCATCATTGCATGTTTTCATTTTTGTCAGACTTCCGCCCACCCTTTTCAAATGTAATTCTCAACTTTTTAATGGATTAAGATCCCAATACATAAGGTCCTTCAAACAAGAATGATAATAAAGTAGTATATTGCTTTATTTTATAGTTCATCAAGAAGCCAAAGATCTTATGCCTGACTAAGTATCTCCGTATCTAACTTGGTAAGGAGAAAATAGGGTAAACAATGCCCATAATATATAGTAGAAAAGTCAGTATTTGAAGATGTCTAACTTGTATTCCATGGGAACCTAACGTATTTTATGATAACTAATAGTAATAAAATTTTATTGAAAGCAATAGGTAAAGTCCCTTTAGAAATTAAAAATGAGTTATTCAGATGGCTCTTTGTCAGTGCTAGTTCTTTTGTAGCATTGCATTGGAAATGTTGCAATAAAATGAAAAATATAAACATATCTTTTAATGGAAAAAAGGATAGACTCTAGAACAGAAAATTATCATTTTATTTTTTCCCAGGAATTTGCCTGAGGGTGTGACACAGATGATCTCTGTTACTCTTCTTAGTTGTGTCCTGCAATAAGCTGGATGCTTTATAAAATACTGGTCCCTTGGTTTCAAATGCTGTAAGATTTTAGTTCTCCATCACCCCCTCCCCCCAATTTTTTCCTTTTTTCTATAAAGGACCTTTGAAAACAGAAATATAAAGGTTGCACTATCATCACATATGAAACTGGTAGCCCGAATTCTTCAACCATTAATTTGGTTTATAGTTTTCTAAGTTGATACTTTATCCTTAGAACTTACCTGTGGTTAAGGCCTATCTATAGATGTGCCCTCCAGAAAAAAATGAATATAGATTTTCTTCCTCAATAGTTTTTTTAAATGAAGCGTATTTTCTTCATACAAATCTACGTTAAGGAAAACATCTATATTGTTGTTTAGTTTATTTTGGAGTAAAATAATAAATGTATATGGTAAGTACCTCCTGACCCCATTATTTAGTTTAAACCTATCTGTTCATTTTATAGTACATGTGCAGAACTATTTACGTGAATAAAACTCAATAAATATGTAGATAAAGTAAAGCTTTTTCTGGGGAAATTATTCTCTTTTGGATACTCTGCCCTTTTCCATTTCTTTTCTCCCCTTGGAAAAAAAAAATCTTGCCCTTGTTCTCCTTTAAGGAAAAACTATTTAGATAAAGTGTTTTTAAATCATGCAAGTCATTGCCTGGGGTTGGTTAAAACATTTACTTTTTTGAAAAGGAGAAAATGCCCCTGTTTTAAAAATCTTTCTTGTATTTGTATCTATTAAGATAAACAGTTTACTTTGATACGGTACATACCAATCTACTTAGTTAATTTTTTTTCCAGAATTCATTTTACTGTGCTTGGTATGACCTTCTATGATAACTTAATATAGGAACAAATTAGCATATAATTCTATTTTCCATGTGACCTCAACCAGTTGCAGAATTGTACCGCCACTTTTGGGGCGCAGTTTGATAGTCTATGTAGACTGTAGCATTTTTAAGTGTTTGCAAATGTTCAGTGCATCCTACCTAAGGTGTTATCGAAAATGTTTAAAAGTAAGCGGTTAGAGGAAATACCCCTATTCCTAAGGTATCAAAATGCCTCCTAAAGGTAGCATTTTAAACTAGTGTGCATAATTGATTAGTGATTTGTCTTTCTCCCAAGCATAAAGCAACAGGGCAAAGTTAAGTGAGGTTGGTGAAGTATAAGAAGATATAAGGGACTGATGGTGACAATGATCATGACAACTAAATGGATTTCTTTTTTCTTTTAGATTCAGCTGTCAGTCTGAAATTTCCTGTGGCCTGTTCAGTCTAGATGCAAAGGCCATGGAAAAATCAAGTGCTCAAGTGGTTTAAATATGTTTTGGATGTTCTTATTTATAGATTACAGTATTTTTCCACTTAAAATCCACAGTTGTCATGCAGAAGAAGGTTGTGCCCTTCTAGATCACCAATTTTATTTGACACGCTTAGCGTTGTAATGTATTACCAAATGCTATCTGTTTTAATCAAAGTATAGAAAAAATAAAATCAATTTTATATGTTGACTTTTTTTCTAAAACGACTTTATTGGATTGAATGAATGTTTATACCTGAAAAAGAGCATTCCAAGAAAAAAAAAATCACATTCTCCAACATAGCAATTCTTCTGGCAATCTGATATCATTAGAATAGGTTTAAAATCACTTTCTAATGTGACTGTATTATATTTATGGGAGAAAAAAGACTTGAAATGTATCCTTATATATATTTTAATTCTCTATATTAGTCCCTCTGGAATAGAACATTTTCTTCTCAAAAAATCTATTAGCTCAACTCAGATACAAGATAAAAATCATAACTGGCAGAGCATTTGTTACGTGTTTGAGCATCTGTTATGTAAAGAAGGTTGACATCCAGTCTTTCACAGAGTTCTTACATTTGGGGAGACTGAATAATGACCGTTTGCCTTGCCATTGGGAAATTCCTCGTTGTGGCCTTTGCGGTGGCTGTAGGAAAATGGAAGGATTCCTCTGCGGTAGGCAGGCCTCTGGCTTCTGTGGTGTGAACACTGTCAAGGGGTATGTGTCACTAGAGGTGGCCCTTAGCGAGGGAACTGGGGAGATTCACAGATGCTGATGGCACTCGAAGAAGCAGTTGTGAATGACCCAGTTCGTACTTCATCCACTTCTGTAGTTTTTACAAAGAAAGTGCTATGATAAATTCTTAAGCTCAAGCCTCCATATGGCAAAGTAAATTTATTAGGCTAGAGTGTTTCTTTTTTATTTTTAATTAAACTTAGTATTTTGAGATCATTATAGATTTCACATGCAGTTGTACTAAATAATGGAGAGGTCCTTTGTACCCTTTACCTAGTTTCCCCAAATAGTATGGTGTATAGTGCCGTATCACAACCTGGACATTGGCATCAGTACAGCCAAAATACAGAACAGTTCCTTCAGCACAAGGATTCCTCATGTTGCCCTTGTGTATCCATAGCTGCTTCTGTCCTGCTCCCCTTCCTTAACCATAGCAACCACTAGGCTGTTCTCCATTTCTACAATTTTTTCTTTTCAAGGATGTTATATAAATGGAATCATATAGTATATAACCTTTTGGAATTGACTTTTCTCACTCAGCACAATTTTCTGGAGATTGAACTTGAATATTTCAAGTCTGTTCTTTTTATGTTTGGGTAATATCCCACGGTATGGTTGTCCCACAGTTTGTTTAACCATTTACCAGTTGAGACTTCAGGGTTGTTTCTGGTTTTTCACTATTACGAATAAAACTGCTGTAAACATTCATGTATAGATTTTTGTGCGAACGCAAGTTTTCATTTTCCTGGGATAAATGCCCAGGGGTGTGATTGTGGGTCATATGATAATTACAGAGAGCATTTCTTTTTAAGACTAGAATTGATTTTGTGTATATGGAAGGGGAGACAAAGAGAACATCTACATTTTTGTGGTATTTTTGCTTTAACAGGATTTGTTTATGGTTTCAAAACATGCAGACTATCTTAAATAACTTGTAGCTAGATATCAAAAAACATTTTTTCCACAACGTAGATTTTGTTCTTATTTTTAGAGAAATATTTTTGAGAAAAAATTACTTTTTGGGGGGGTAAACAATTTCTATGTAAAGGAATAAAGGTAGACATACACTATAGAAAAGATGCTGCAAAGCTGACAGGTTACTTGGGGATATTTTCCAAGTGTTGATAGAGAGACTTGACGTTCGAGGATATATTATAATAGTTTTTCAATTGGTAGACTCTAGCTTTTGTCACCACCATGTTGCCTGTAGTTTTTATTTGTAGAATGAATTCATTATCTTTACAATTTGTGTTCAGCGGTATTGCATTTAATGTCCATTTAATTCAACTATATGCACTTAGGAAGAAAAGAAGGAAATAAAAAAACAATAAGTATCTTTTCTAGTACACGGCCCCTAAAAGGCAACTATTGACACTTTACATGATGCTTAATGGAAGAAACAGCTCTGTTCCCAACCCTGGTGAAAATTATACTGTTATACTTCCTGAGAGGCATGTATGAAACCATCTATGCTATATTTTGGGAGAGACTTACTGAAAGGATTTTCAAGGATAATTTTTATTCTAATTTTCCACCGTATATATTGACTTTGGAACTCTTACTGAAGATGTAGCTCCATTTCTTTTTTAGAAACATTGGATGCCTTTAACTGGTTACAATAATCCTTCTAACAAAAGTCAATATTTTAAATCTTTAACCTTTTTGAGTGAGGCCCTAGGCCCAGGGGAACCCCAATCATGCAATTCTTCTAAATATAGTTCATCTTTAGCCCATATGGTCATGACCACAGTGATATAAATGACATAAGATAATAAAATAGTCCTTGCCCTTAAAAATGACCTGGACAAAAGATAGTATGGACATATAGAATCTTTGAATACCAGTAGTCACTCATCAAGAAGCAGCTAGGGAAGCATCTCCTGTCTAGCACTTCTAGGAACTGGGACCCTAACAGTAAAGAAGAGCAATACAGGCCCTGATCCCTTTGCGGGGTTCTCGCGGCTCTTAGATTAGGGGGTGGGGACAGGGGAGAAGTAAAAAGAAACTGAGATAGAGTCCAACGTGATTATGTGTTACTAGAAATCCAGAACCTTCGGAATTTAGGAGAGAGACTAGGAAAGCTGAAACTGCTGGAGCAGGCCTCACAGAAAATGGTGGGCTTGAATTGGGAAGGAGCATGTATGTGACACAGAGAAGGAGGACATCAGGAGCAGAGGGAAATGAGCTGCAGTGTGGTTGTTGGAAGTGAGGTGCAATCTGGTCTGTTCATCAAAATAGTAGGTGACTGCCCCAAAGTATACTTAACAGCTTCCTATGTTTTAGGAACTCACCAGAAATGTGGCATGCTTTAAGAGTAATATTTGAGTTTAAATATGTATATTTGAGTGAAAAAACAAATGGATACTCTTCTTCTTAAAACTAGGACTTGGAAGTAGCTTTTAGACTATGAGGCTCAGTATGTGTGTGTGAATGTGAAAAACAACCTTACTTTCCTCCATTTGTGTTTGATAAGGAATAAGATATTTTGTACCTTTCTGATGTCTTAAATGCATAACCTGTAAGACTATAATACTTTAAAATGTTTTATTTTAGGCTTAAAATAAAAGAACTTAAAGTTCTTTTAGAAGAGCTCCAAAATTAAAACTGCAAGATCACATATAGATACAAGTTACATAAAGAATACATTTGTAAGATGGTACATAGAGCTGATGGCTTTACTAAGAAACTATTTGGGGCACCCTAAGAAAATACAGGCATTTCTGTGCATTCTTTTCAAGTGTTCAAGGTAGTAAGAGAGCTGAGAGCCTTTTCTAAATATGCATCCAATTTTAGAAGGCTAAACTAGGAAGCGCTAATATGCCTGAGGCCCTTTAAGTCAGGAACTTGGAAAAAGGAAGACACCTAAGGGACTATCAGAGTTTCTTTAAATTTATATAAATCATAGATTTGATCAATGTGGTTATAAAAGACATCAAAATTAAGATACTCAGGATTTTATGTGTAATAATACAGATTCCAGTGCCCCCAACTATATGCCATTGCCAATGAGGCCAAAATGAATTGTGTTTTAGGAAAGTGCTACTACATTAGGTAGACGACTTAAAAGTTCTGAGTATGTATAACGAGCCAGCACCGTGGAATCATCTTGTAATACTGTTTATCTAGCAGTTTAAAAAAAAAAAAAATGGTGCTATTTTAGACGGTTAAAAAAATTTTTTTTACAAATATTGCAAATCATAGATTGGTTACCACTAGACTTCCTGACTCTGCTGTGATTGCTGTATTCTCTGTATATTCTTTTAAAATACGAGGCACTTTATAATTTTGTCTATAATTGTTTATATATTATTTTCTCCACAAAATGTTTTTAGAACAACTTATTGCTAAATTACCTTAACCTACCTGCCATTTTTAAACTTTATGTATGAATGTACTGAAGTGTCAGTTGCAAGACACATTAGCAGACTATTTAATTTTTTTTTCCAGGAGTCTTTTTATTCAAAACACCTTGCAAACTCTATGCATAAAAATAGCAGGCAGCTTCCACTTGCAGGCTTTTGAAGCTGGAGAAGATGTGTTTTTCACGTGAAGAAACTTGAGTCCCAGGAAGATGAAATGCCTTGCTACTAAGTGGTAATAAGGATCTTTTGACTCCACAGCAAATGCTGCCATCTTGAAGATGCTTGTCCCCAGTTCTGGAAATTCAATCTGCAGATGGTTGTATCACACCCCTATTCTTCATAATATTTTATTCTATACACATCAGAAATAAATGTCTACTTGCCATCTGTAGATGTCATACAAACATTTTGTCATCCAGTATGGGTACAAGTAACAAGTTAAAGTATGTTAATCTCAGAACTGAATTTCAACCAATAGAATGTTCCATGTATTCATTACTATTTATACATACCTGCTGGCTTTTAACATTGTGATAAATCCAGGGAATCAAATATGAATACAATATGTTCCCTGAATTCAACAACGTGGGCAATGGGCTCAGGCATGGAGATGAAATGGTGAACAGCATGCAGTGTTTACCTTTGTGGAGCTCGGAGCTTAGCATCTATCTTGGCTACAGAGGCATAATCAGACCATTTCAGCACAGCACGGTGAGAGGGAAAGGCCAGGTGCCATGGGACCCCAGGGGCAGAGTCCTCAGCCAAGCCTGACGGACGGTGGGCAAAGTCAAGGAAGGCTTCCCAGAGGAGAGGGGCATTGGGGTTGAGCCTTGAAGGAAGGGGGAGCAAAGAAAGACAAGGGAGAGCACGTGCCTTCAAGAGTCAGCAAGGAGTTTGAAAGAAGCAGGAGAGGTGCGTGC